GGCCACATAACCACCTCCGGGAGTGCATTATTTCTCTAATAATTGTAACTGCCTGGAGTCGCAACCACACATCAAGACATTGTTCAGATCATTTGTTTCAAGACATTTGACATGTTTCCGTCCTGAAATCTCGTGTGGGTTGAACAAATTTTTTTACGCACCTCATCCCAAACCCTCCGTTGCAAATTCCAAAATGTCATTATAGAGCTGATAAAACGTCATTATAGAGCTGATAACAGAAGCTTGAGCCATTGATATGCAGGCTTACACATTTATTAATGCAGTCTAATGCGGTTATTAGAGAGAGAGAGAGAGAGAGATTAAGTGTGTCTGTGCGTCTCTCAGCAGCGTCTACTAATAGCGAATCTTTAAGTTAAACTCCTTCATGAACCTCGCTACTGAGAAATGTCATGTAGCTTTTCAGCTGCGAAACCAAGAAGTTTCTGTTCGCGTCTCCGCGTGTCTGCACTGTGTGTGTGTCTGTGAGAGAGACTGGGAGAAAGAAAGCGTGATTTCCGTAGCCTACATAAAAAAGGTGGAAGACATGGAAATAGTTTGTAATTTTTTACCCTATTGTTAGTTATATTTATTTGCTCAATGTCTTGAGCAATGTGTAAATCCGGCCCTGTTAGACGGCAATCGGAAGTTATTACAAACACTCGATGGTGGTTTAAAGTGAGTTTTGAGTAAAAGCGGAATATAAATCTGATTTATTGTCTTATGTAGCATGATGCTACAGTGTGCATGGATGGTCACATAACACGCGCTTTCGGTCGTGTTACGTTAGTATGAACGGACATCTGCATATGATGGGAACTCCACACAGCTCCCGCGCTACTCTATACTGCTGGTATTACAGTACCACGAGAGCTAAAGAGAGCAGACTGCTCCGTGCGCTTTCGTATTGCTCTCGCGGATGATCGATCTCCTCCGCGCCTCTAGTCGAACACACTGGCTAGTGCTGCAGGCTTATTGGCTCACTGACGCTGATGGGATTAACCTCTTAGGTATCGAAATTTGGACGTTTTTAAAATTAAAAACACTGAAAGACGTTTTTCGATACTCAATGGTATCGAGGCAATTCGGTCGGTGCCTTAAAAGTATCGAACTCGATACCCAGCCCTACTTATACTGTGTTTTTCCGCGTAAACATAAAACCATGTCTGCATTTGTGATCGGAGAAACGACAAACAACAAGCGCTACTCTACACTGCTCAAGTATCGAACTTGATACCCAGCCCTACTTATACTGTGTTTTTATGCGTTGCGTTGCATATAGCGCCGCGTAAACATAAAACCATGTCTGCATTTGTGATCGGAGAAACGACAAACAACAAGCGCTACTCTACACTGCTCAAACTCGCGTTTGTATCATCAGTGGCAAATTCTTTAAATATAAAAAATGTACTTACAGGCTGTGAGTCAGAAGCGCCAGATTGTCCTTGCAAAGTTGGAACTGCCCCACTTTATTTTGCGGCAACCACATGTGACTACCACGGTGAAAGCCGATCCGGCGATCCACAGCGCGAAGTTGATGTATTTCCTCAGCAACCAGCACGGATCAGCTCAAAGTAGTTTCGCTTTCACAACGAAACACACAGCGTCTTCACGAGGCGGCGGCGGCAACAACAATACTACAGCGAGAATAAAAGTTACGCCTTCTTTCTTTGCGTGAACATTTGGGCGGCGTTATGCAAATCTTCCCACATAGTGAGGTAGACTTACTAATGTTGTTGTCATTCTAAATCATGAAATGCGTGCTGACAAAGCGCTGTTTATTTATGCATTTACACAGAACTATACTCAAACTGTGATCGCTCGTGGAGATAATAAATAATTAATTTCCATAGAGTTGTATTTAATCTTGTTAAAATTTACATGCGGTGGCCGTGCTGGAGCATTTCCTGAGCATCAACCGTGTGAACAGCAAAATGCAGACGACTTCACGAAACTAATGATGAGCATAGACGACAGAGAATGAAATACTGCACTTTTATTTCCAACATGCTCTCATTCATGGCTATATATTATTTAATTCAGGCAAAGTCTTTATTGGGACAGGACTTGACGGATTCTCACATGACTCAGTGAGTTCGTCTCTATTTCTTAGAGACAAGCTGCATAAACTAGCTACATTTCAGGCATTTATGTAACACATCTAATATGTGCATTAATGGCTGTTATGTTAAATAGTTTACTAATTACAGCAAAGCAAGTAAGTATGCTTTACCTATGCACGCCATTGTTGTTGTCTCCTCTCCCCTCAGACGCCGAGCTCCAATGGCGATCCTGCGCGCAATTCTCAAAACACCCACAAGATGGTGGCGTTTATCTGTGAATCCGATATTACAAAACCGATAACCGATTATGGTAAAATGTTTAAATATTGGGAAAAATATCGGAAAATCGATATATCGGTCGATCTCTAGTTTTAATGCGACGTGCAGCAAGTGTATGTTAGCTGATGTCCCGCCAGTTCATATATACGCAATCTAACCTCCGAACCACGCAGCAGATTTGTTTTGAATGAATTTCTTCCCAAATTGTCCCTCCCTAACATTTTCGTCTCGTTTTTATTATTTGACGAAAATGTCAATAGATTTACGTCATAGTTTTTGTCATTTAAAAAGTTTTAGTTTATCGTCTTGTTGTCGTCGGTGAAAAAAAGTCGTTGACGAAAATTATTCGTCAACAAAATTAACACTGACTGGGAATGCTACTTTTAAAAGCGATGGAAAATATTACATTGCTCATTTTAATGAGTAACTATATGCAGTGCGTCCCTAATTTTTCTCAGTGGTGTAATGTAAGAAAGTAATAATACTTTGTTACAGTACTTAAGCATTTTTTTGGGGAGTATCTGTACTTCACTTGAGTTTTTATATTGAGTAATATTATTTAATATTATTATTGTTTAATATTGAGTATATTTCTGTCATTATTTTTATCTAAATACAGCAGAAGTTGTATAGTCATATTATGATATAATCACAAAGTTTTAGGCACATGAACAGTTTTAGGATACTGTATTTAGATACTGACCTTCACAGATAGCAGAATATTCTGCCGTACAAAAACAGGGTTCACACAACATTAGCTCTGTTGTTACTGCGTTTAATGCATGACCGCCTGAACCTCCATTAACTGTTTGTTAATTTAACCAGGAAAGGGCAAAAAAGTCATTCAGATCCACATCATATAACTAATTAAGTTTTGCCAATCTACTGCGCTCATAAATCATGTGCATTTATTGGATTTTACACCCGTCTTCTCATACTCTCGTGCTTGGCTTCTCTCAGTGTTTTGGTTTTGTGTAAAACGGCAAACCCTTACAAAAAGTACTGTGATGGGACCATGGTGCAGTGGGATGCCACGGTAATGAATGATAGCCATATTCATGTACAAATGTACTCTATAGAATTCCATGTTGCTTTTTTATTTTTTGCTTTGGAGCTTCAAACTGTGCTGGACTCTCTAAAGATCTGATGAACAGTCAATATCTACACAACTTGAACTGAATGTTATTGATCACCTAGGGAAAGAGATCCAAATTGATCTTCGTCTTTGCTTTAAAATCTAGTGAGCTGTCTTGATTTGATTGAACAGATTTGTTTTTCAATACTATTCATTATCGAATGGAATAGAATTATTTGTAATCAATATTTCTCTCAACTCATTCTGTCAGTGTTCACCTGAGTGAGGGATGCACAGAATTTGCTCAAAACAAAGTATCTCGAAAGGCAGCATAATTTTGCTGCATATATTTTGGAACAGCCTTCAGACCTTTGGTGCCTTAAAATGCTATAGAGTATTTGTGGGCGGCGGCTTTTATTTGAAGGGAAATCTTGTGATCTACCAGTCTCAGATGTGCTCTATATAATTCTTTTTTGTTTGTTATCTGACTGTTTTGTTTGATTTTGTGTTTAATAGAGTCACCTGAAACAGATGCAGTGATGGACATGGGCTCGGCTGAACCTCTAGACTCAGAAGTTCTGTATGACTGTGTGATCTGTGGTCAGAGCGGCCCATCTACTGAAGACAGACCCACAGGACTGGTGGTACTGCTGCAGGCCTCATCAGGTATCATGCACCTTTTAATATTAGCAATGTATCTGTGTCTATTTCAGCAGTGGTCAATCAGGGCTCCAGACTAACATTTGAGAGCAGTGGGACCAGCACCACTAAGTTCTACAGATAGTGGCGCCAGGAGCAGATTTGGTAGCGCTGGGGCTGGTGTGCGGGAGTATTAAAATATAGATCATTTAATCATAATTACTATTGTTTTGCATTAATAAGTGCAGTTACTAATAATATTACATGTTCATTTCTTGTTTATTTTTCTTTTATTTATTGTTTATACAGATTTGACCGTAAAGCACTAGCTTGAGTTAAGATGCATACAAAATGTACTGTTATTAACCGTAACAGGTGCAAAATCTAATTTTTATATAGAAAATGTATATATTCCACTCTTATTAAATGTACCATTATTCTTCTAGCATATGCGACTGACCAACTTCAGTGATTGTGTGATTTAGTAGCAAATTGAAGAAAAGTTTGTTTTTCAAGGCACTTTGTAACTTTCTTACTTCATACACAAAAAAAGTGTAACATTCTGACAATCTGATTGCTTGATGATTTTATATTTTATAATCGTGGTTTTATAATTTCAAAATATAGAGAAATTAAATGAATGACTAATAAGCCAATAAGTGCTCCTCTGCTGCTTGTCTACTGGTTATAATTGTGATTTTATGTATTTTTTACATTTTACACAAGTGTTTGTTTACCACAAAGTATATTTTGGTCATCCCATTAAAAATAACATTCAAATTGAATCATTTTAGAGCTTTAAAGTGCTGGAAATAGTTGTGTAAAATACTTGGAAGTCATTGAAAAGTGCTTGAATTTCTCTCTCAAAAGGTTGTACAAACCCTGAAATGAATGATGTAATGCATTCAACTATTTCTACCACAACACCATGGTTATAGTTAGCGTTACTGCTTCTGGTTTCCTGACGTAGGCTATGTCAGCGCTGTTTATAACAGAGAATTCTGTGCAGAATTTGAATGCTTCTCACTAGATCTCGCAGCAACCTTATCATTGTGCGGCGAATTCAAATGCTTCTCACTGGATCTCGCAGCACTGTTCAGTAACAGTGTCACAGAATCAACTTTGGCTCCCGAGTAAAGCTGTTCTGAGCTCAGACAAGTTTGATTGCGTCGCGGTCCGAGCTGATAAACGGTCCGCGCTGCACAGCTGAAACGATTGAAGCTGAACATTGTTTTGAGTCGTTAATAGGCGCTGCCGGTGTGCGTACGCTCATAGAAAACAATGGGCGAATTCCAAACTGCTTTTTTGCGTCCCCTTGAAGGGCACTTCGGGAAGGGGACACCATTTGTAGGGACATTCCAAACGAAAGTGAACAACTGAATCCTTTTACGAAGGGCCCTTCCCTTGCATGCACGCGCAGCATTGCCAATTTAGCATCCGGTCTGTCATTCCCTTCACCAAGGGAGTTCCAAATTCTTATACGAGACAGTAATGCCCTACACCTTTCAAAGAACACACTTCAAGGGCTGTGCCCTTCGAAAGAAGTAGGGCATATGGATTCTCACTTCTTTTTGGAATTCGCCCAATGTGTTCAAATTTTATGACAGCCTTCATTGTGTAGTTTAGGCTGACATTACAGAATCCCTCATATTATCTTATTTAATGAAACATGTTGCCAGTAACACTAGGTAGCTAAACTTCAGTGAGTTTTTAAGCCACAACTCTATCTTAGATTCTGGACTAAATATTTGGAAGTAGCATATATACTGTATATATATATAAGCATTCAAGGTAAGCATTCATTTAGTATGTTCTGTTTATTGCTAAATGAAGCATTCAAGGTAAGCATTCATTTAGTATGTTCTGTTTATTGCTAAATGTGAGGATCCCTGCTTTGTGTTTAAGGAAATCACATCCAAACGTTATATTTATCAATGCACTTGTCTATACGATGGATGGGCTTACTTGGGACTTTAGTCTGCATGATTAGCAATTTTGTTGTGTTGTGTTATTGTATTGCAGCCTTGTGGGAGCGTACACAGATTGAACATGAGAGGTCCAAGGATTAAGCCTTGAGGGACTCTGCATGTTATGGAGGTCCAGTCAGTTTCACGGTTGCCTGTGTTGACATACTAGCTATTGCTTTCTAAATTTCTTCCAAGCAGACACCATATTTAAAGTCATGATGCATAGGTCACTAGAGAGAAGTCTATTTGTATCAGAAGGTCCAGTTTGACATTTTAAATAAACACTTTGAACAAGCTTCTCCAAAAAATTTATATTGTCATGATTTTCTCATCCCAAACAAAACTTCATATTGTACAATTGTAATCCATTCAATATGTTGCACTTATGGTCCTAAATGTACATTTACATTTATTTGTATAGTGCTTTTCACAATACATAGTTTTAAAGTAGCACAGTATATTAAACGTACCGAACATCACTGTGTTTTGTTTGTGTTAAATTCAGTTTGGTTTCTATTCTATTCTAGGTCTATAACAGGCAGTAGGACAAGGGTGTAGCATTACAGCTTTCCATCTGCAGGTGGCAGATTGTAGTGATCCAGATCACTGGAGCTCTTTAACTCTACATTAACCCACCCATGACTTTAAATCCACCCACTTTGCACGACTACTTGTTTTAACAATAGTGTTTAATTGCTTCATTTATCAAGCATTGTGAACTCTTAGCAGGTAGACTCGCAGGTAGTTTTCTCCCACCCCAGTCCTGTGATAAAATTAACATTCTGTTTTATGAATAATCACTGGTCTATGATTTTTTCCGATTTGTGACTTTAGTATTCTTAAAATGCCTCAAGGTCAAGATGGTAATTTTGCTGTGTTTGTAGCAATCTTGTCTGAACCTATAGAGCTGGAAAATCAGTTCTTGGAGATTTAATGGATTAACAGGCTGCTGATTTGGTCTATTTTAAATTTTTACTGCCGAGTATTCAGTATGGTGGGATTTGGAGGCAGCGTGACATGCATTACAGTTTTGACTTTGTCATGGTACTTCATTATAGTATGCAAATGGAGAATGTCATAAATATGATAATGGAAGCTAATTAGCATATGATTGCCATTTCTGAAGAGTGTATGTGTGTGTATTTCAGTGTTGGGGCACCGCTGTCGTAGTGACACACCAAAGCGATTGCCTACTACGGATGAGGAACATATCTACCCCGAGGACACATGTGGAGCGGCCCATGATGTTAGGCTCTCCCTTATGCAACGCTACTTTAAAGATGTATGTACAACATATAAACACTCATTCTAAAACATTTGTTTTTTGTTGAGGCATTTCAATACAATATGACTGTCTAAGCATACAGTTTCATTAGGGTTACATACTTTAATAATGCAATAAACCACAAGAGGCCAGTGCATTACAGTGATATAACCATGGCTAAGGGTTGTTTGGCACGTAGTAAAATCACTGTCTTATTGCTTTTATAAAATGAACAATTACAATAAACAATTATTCTGCCAGGTAATGGAGCTCATTATCCCAACTGTAGATAGTTTACAGCTGCTGCATTAATATTGAATTCAGCTCTGCCATCAAAAATGTGTGCATATAAGCTATTTTACTTAAGCAGCTTAAAACATTCTTATTGTACATTATTATAGTATTACATACATTATTATCCTCACCTTGCAAACTAAAGCTTTATTTTCATGTAAAGAGTTTAATAAGCATACAGTTTCATTAGGGTTACATACTTTAATAATGCAATAAACCACAAGAGGCCAGTGCATTACAGTGATATAACCATGGCTAAGGGTTGTTAGGCACGTAGTAAAATCACTGTCTTGGGTGTCTTATTGCTTTTTATAAAATGAACAATTACAATAAACAATTATTCTGCCAGGTAATGGAGCTCATTATCCCAACTGTAGATAGTTTACAGCTGCTGCATTAATATTGAATTCAGCTCTGCCATCAAAAATGTGTGCATATAAGCTATTTTACTTAAGCAGCTTAAAACATTCTTATTGTACATTATTATAGTATTACATACATTATTATCCTCACCTTGCAAACTAAAGCTTTATTTTCATGTAAAGAGTTTAATACAATCAAAATGTAATGTTATCTCTTTTATTAGCTCATGAATGAATGTTAGTTCTTCTTTTTCATTTTCTTAATTTCCCAGAGTTCATGTCTGCAGTCTGTGTCTATTGGCTGGGACGGGGGTGTGTATGTGCAGACCTGTGGCCACACTCTGCATATAGACTGTCACAAGTCCTACATGGAGTCCTTACGGGTAAGAATCCATCAACTCTTTATACTGAACACTATACTGTAAAGAGCTTTAACTTATCAAGTGACTATTAGTTGAGACTCTGCTCTGAACCTCATTAGAGGTTCATTCACCACTGTAGTATTACATACATTATTATCCTCACCTTGCAAACTAAAGCTTTATTTTCATGTAAAGAGTTTAATGCAATCAAAATGTAATGTTATCTCTTTTATTAGCTCATGAATGTTAGTTCTTCTTTTTCATTTTCTTATGCTTAATTTCCCAGAGTTCATGTCTGCAGTCCGTGTCTATTGGCTGGGACGGGGGTGTGTATGTGCAGACGTGTGGCCACACTCTGCATATAGACTGTCACAAGTCCTACATGGAGTCCTTACGGGTAAGAATCCATCAACTCTTTATACTGAACACTATACTGTAAAGAGCTTTAACTTATCAAGTGACTATTAGTTGAGACTCTGCTCTGAACCTCATTAGAGGTTCATTCACCACTGTTTCTTCTCAGCTGAAGCTTTCAGGGAAGCATTGTGCTTATGCTAATAAGGGCAGTCTGACATCGTTATCTGCTGAATAATCTAACATGAGCAGACGATGATGTTCAGAGCGAGAGAAGGGGGTTAAGCAGGGCTGTCCTTTTAGATGTAGAGTTATCAGCACTTGAGTCTCAGCATCAGGTGACAAACACAAGGCTGGGATGCATATTACACACAAAAATGGTAAGAGCTTCCTTTTAAACGGTTATAATCTACAATCTGATTGGTTAAAATGATGCAATTTGCTAAGCAGTCTGACTTATGGTTTTTGCCTTCCGAGTGAAAACGGAAATAAAAGTAGCCATGTGCATATCATTTGTGCTGTTGTTTTATCAACAAAGTAAAAAATGCACAAAAAAAGCTTGTGACGGAAGTATCAGAAGATGACCCTGAAATGGAGCAGTTGCTCATATGATAAGACTGCATGTATCTGCGTTTATACAACTGACTATACAACTTAATCTTGTCCTGTGTGCAAAAAGTATTCACGAGACCATACAAATACTCGTGCAGTGAAAAATGTTATAAATTTTGTTTTTAGAATTTAGATTTTGTTAGGCTGTTTCGCTGTTAGGCTGATTCTGTCATGTGATACCACATTTATTTGCATTAACGGTTTTGAAACTTTTTTTTTTTTTTTTTGAGTCTATTATGACCGGAAAGGCTTGTTCACATTAATATACATTTTGTTTTGGATTTCTTCTTTTTCTTCTTGCCCTCCTTGCTCATCTTCTCCTTGTGTTTCCGGATTTCTCGGACTAGTGTATAAAACGCGTCATCCACACCCTTCAAAATAAAGGGAAAACAAGAACTGTAGGTGATTATCTAAAGCATCAAACACCATAACCAAAAATAAGAATGACTTTTGCTGCCACATTCCAAACATTAGCCACTTAACACCTCTCCTCTCCTCTCCTCTCCTCTCCCCTGAGGAGATTTTGTTACGCTTCTGTAAGACACATGTATGCTGTTAATTTGAAACACTTGAGTTCAGTTTCTGATTTCTCATCTCAGATTCATCTGTTTGTGTATAAAGGACATCATGTCGGATTCTTTATTAGACTAATAATAGCACTCAAAAATAATAATTACACACACACACGCACTGAAAAATACAATAAAAAAGTTCCATTGTCAACTTCAGACACCATTTCTTGATTAGATGGAAAGTGTACTGGATAATTCATAATATAGCCTTTTAAATGTTGTATTGTTTGAAGAAACGAAGTATTCTCTGTAAGAATTTACAGTAAGGTACTTCACGTTAGTTAATGAATTAACTACCATTACCGATGAGCAATGCTTTTGTTTTAGTGTTTATTGATCTTTGTTAATATTAGTTAATAAAAAAACAACTGTTCATTGTTAGTGAACGTTAGCGTGAAAGCACCCTAAATCAATCTCTCTCTCTCTCTCTCTCTCTCTCTCAGGACAAATCTGGAGTTAGAGTTGGTTCATCGTGGGGGGAATCTATGCAGTGGAGGGGCCAGTGCTGCTGCCAAACGCTCCTGTCTCAGTGAGTGCCTCTTTCCTTTTCTTTCTCCCCCTTTCTTTATTTATTTATTTTTTTTTACATGAGTTGTTATGAGTGATAATTAGCTGATTATTCAGCTGGGCCATTGATATTTTTAGCATCTAACTAGATGTGTTTAGGTACAAATCGATGTCAGCATTGTTAGTGGATAAAACATGTTTGGATTTTTTTTTTTTAATTGTTAATGGAGTAGTGCTGTCAAATGATTAATCGCACCCAAAATAAAAGTTTTTGTTTACATAATATGTGTGTTGTGTATATTATGTATATATAAATACACACACACACATGCATGTATATATTTAAAGAGCAGGTCATATTTTTTTTTTTAAAGTTTCCTAAAGAGTAATTTGTCCATGATTTCGAAACGGTTCGTTCGATTCAGTTCTGAGAGAAATGTCTGTAAACCCCTCCCTTCCATAAGCATACTCTGCTCTGATTGGTCAGCTGGCCAAGCCTGTTGTGATTGGCACAAAGAGGAGTGCTTGAGCAAGTTAGCGAGCGCTACTATCTGTGTTGCCAAGTCCGCGGTTGTTTTTGATGTCGTGGGTTGTAGCGACCCCAATAACGTCATATTTAGGCACTGGAATGCGAATTTACCAGGGGAACCCCGACTGAAAGCGTGTATTTTACACCCCCATAACGCGATTTTTAAAGGGGGACCAACACGATTGGGCTAGTTTTGAGTAGCAATTGGGCGGGTTTTGTTGTGACAATCTCGCAACCCTAGCATGCACCTTTACATAAAACAATAATATATTGCTCCAATCGGTTCTTAAAATAATGACATAAAAACATTGTTTAACACTTATGCAAGTGAATCGTGCCCACAGCTAGAGTTTAGCTGCTAAACTTTAAACACTTAACAAAACAATGGTGGATACGTTAGCCGAGTGCTAACGTGACTAACTGATGAAACAATACAGTTTGAAAACCAAAACATGTCTACTGTAATGTCTGAAGAACGACGCTCCGTGTCTTAACTTTTAATTATAACGCAGAACAGCTGTATCACATGCTCACGAGCCTAACTAACTAGTCTCTCTCTACCGGGTCTTTTACTCCCTGCATTAACCCTATAACTACATAAACAGCACTTTCACAATGATTATAAAGTCTGTGTGCTACACTACATTCTTTATTATTAAACAAAGTAATTAGAACAACGACAGTCTACATTAATCGACACATTCTTAGCAAATAGTGGGTTCACAGCGAATTATCAGAACTACTTCAGTAAAACAGTAATATCGTGCTTTACCTGGAAATCTAAAGCTGCAATAGGTATACATCACACATTAGCACAAAAAAAAATTATATTTTGAGCACTCAATTGAAAATGTACACATAACGTATCAATCGTACTTACAGGTTGTGGTTTGAAGACGCTTGTTGGTCTAAATAAAGAAGATTAGAAGCCAATGAAGATAAAAGGCAATATTAGAGAAGCAGTGCTCGGTAAATTGACAAGCACAACAAAAGGTTTGAATTGTATTGCTGTGGTATCGTGGAACACAGCATCTTCTCGACACAGAGACTGTTCGTATTATGCTAATGTGTTACCCAGTGACGTTGATCGGTAACAGGCAGAAGATTTTAAAATATAAGGACTCATTAAGGCGATTCCAAGTCGACTCTTTCTTTTGAGAGACAATATCTTTATCATGCACTTGTTTGATTAACTTTGCAGACCGTTTACATCGAAGGATAAGCTACCTTACAAACTGCAAGAGAGATATTTTTCGAAAACCCATATGACCTGCTCTTTAAGAAAAATGTTATGTTTATATATGAAATATATTTATATATAATATTAATTATATGAATATAAATATACACATGTAAATATTTTCAAAATATATACAGTATGTGCGTGTCTTTATATGTACATAATAAATAAACACCGTACACACACACACATATTATGTAAACAAAAACTTTTATTTTGGATGCGATTAATCGCTTGACAGTACTAGAATGGAGTAAATTTATTCATTTGATTACAGCAAAACACATTCATTTTATAGCCAAATTACAACCAAACTGCTCTTTATATATCACATCAGCCATATTGATTAGGGGTGGTCCGATCAGGATTTTTGAGGCCGATCACTGATCACAGAAAGCAAGCAAAAGAAAGCAAGGAATTAAATTAGAAAGGATAAGTGTCTGTGACCCGTTAAAAATACTAACATTTGTTTCCCGGGGATTCATTTTACATGCTCAAAAAGCAGCAAACAACAGAACATGAGGATTCACATGGTCTTCATACGCACCTGCAGCGCTTCTGCGAGTGGAGAAAAACATAATAAAGCTAGGCTATATATATATATATATATATATATATATATATATATATATATATATATATATATATAAAACGAATAAATAGGCCTATACAAGAAAAATATTTTTGCTTAAATAAGAAATTAAGAAAATGAAAGCGAAACTGTGCAACAAGTAGCCTAGTATGCAGTTTCGGTTAATTTTTGTTCTGCGCGAAAGGAAACCAAGACGGCAGAAAGCGGCATCCTATTGTTCTTTAGGCTTATTTTACAAAAGCACAAAGATTTGTTTTTATTGTGAATGCACACAAATAAAAGCAAACCTTTTACAATTCCGATGATCTTTGACTAAAAGGAGTAGTTGCTTCCACTGTTAGAAGGAACAAATTCAAATGATTGCGCCGGCACCACTTTGCTACCGTGACAATGCAGCCTGTTCATTATTATAATAAATAGTCAGTCAAACATATGGAATTGAAGCCATTTGTGCATTTTGAGAGAGAGAGAGAGAGCGTGCGCGGTGATTCACTCAGACTGTTTGTGAAACTGTCTCGCAGTAAATTTTCACATTACTTTATACGTTATTTAAGAAATATGAACTGTACCTCACCTTCAGCATTATAATTATTTCTCCTGCGCCGGACTGAGACGGTGCCGCTGCATGTCGTGCCAAACCTCTCACAGCAGGCGTGTCATCAGCTTGAGATCTGCTTATGAGATCCGCTTTTATAGAGACTGCCGATCAAACATCCCAAAGCGATTATCTGCCGATAGCGATCGGTAGCCGATCAATTGGAGCACCCCTAATATTAAAGGGTTAGTTCACCCAAAAATGAAACTTAGCCCATAAATTACTCACCCTCAAGGCAACCTAGGTGTGTATGACTTTCTTCTTTCAGACGAATCCAGTCGAAGTTATATTAAAAATTGTCTTTGATCTTTCAAGCTGTTTAATGCCACTCAGTGGGTGTTGCATGCATCAGTCCAAAAGAAGTTAAATAAAATGCGCCCATCCATAATAAAAAGT